TTACTAGTACCAATACTATCACTACAACTAACAGTATTCCCTCCATTCTACCTACATCACTGCTACCACCATTAGCGGTTCATTCCTCTGCTGTTGCTGCTGCTACTGCTTCTACTGCAGCCTCTCTTGTTACTGTTGCTGCTGCTGTTGCTGCTGCTGCTGCTGCTACTGTTGCTAAAACTGCTGTTGCTGATGCTGCTACTGTTGCTGCTGCTGCTGCTAAAACTGCTGTTGCTGCTGCTGCTGAAACTGCTGTTACTGCTGCTGCTGAAACTGCTGCTGCTGCTGCTGCTGAAACTGCTGTTGCTGCTGCTGCTGAAACTGCTGTTGCTGCTGCTGCTGCTGAAACTGCTGTTGCTGCTGCTGATGCTGCTACTGTTGCTGCTGCTGCTAAAACTGCTGTTGCTGCTGCTGCTAAAACTGATGCTACTGTTGCTGCTACTGATGCTACTGTTGCTGCTACTGATGCTACTGTTGCTGCTGCTGCTGCTGCTACTGATGCTGCTATATTTACTTATCTTGAACGTGCGCGGATTTCCTGCACTTGGCCATACCATTGCAGCCGCCTAAGCCTTTGACATTATTAGAGTTTTATCCAAAAATAACTTTTATTGCTACCACCACTGCTGTCTGCTGTGACAGTTCCCACCACTATGGCTACCACCACTATGACTACCACCACTATGGCTACCACCACTATGGCTACCACCACTATGGCTACCACCACTATGGCTACCACCACTATGGCTACCACCACTATGGCTACCACCACTATGGCTACCACCACTATGACTACCACCACTATGACTACCACCACTATGGCTACCACCACTATGACTACCACCACTATGGCTACCACCACTATGGCTACCACCACTATGACTACCACCACTATGGCTACCACCACTATGACTACCACCACTATGGCTACCACCACTATGACTACCACCACTATGGCTACCACCACTATGACTACCACCACTATGGCTACCACCACTATGGCTACCACCACTATGACTACCACCACTATGGCTACCACCACTATGGCTACCACCACTATGGCTACCACCACTATGGCTACCACCACTATGACTACCACCACTATGACTACCACCACTATGGCTACCACCACTATGGCTACCACCACTATGGCTACCACCAGTATGACTACCACCACTCTGGCTACCACCACTATGGCTACCACCACTATGACTACCACCACTCTGGCTACCACCACTATGACTACCACCACTCTGGCTACCACCACTATGACTACCACCACTATGACTACCACCACTATGACTACCACCACTATGACTACCACCACTCTGGCTACCACCACTATGACTACCACCACTATGACTACCACCACTCTGACTACCACCACTATGACTACCACCACTCTGGCTACCACCACTATGGCTACCACCACTATGGCTACCACCACTATGGCTACCACCACTATAGCTACCACCACTATGGCTACCACCACTATGACTACCACCACTATGGCTACCACTATGACTACCACCACTATGACTACCACCACTATGACTACCACCACTCTGGCTACTCACAAGATGCCTATCTAAGTTGACACGTCCTGAGGTGTTCTCCATACTACAGCAGCCATAATTTAAATGATCATGACACCCTTCTGAGGTCAATGCTGGAAAAAATCCTGAACCTTCCGTTGGACGACTCTCAATGGGAGCAAACAACCCTCCCTGTAAGACTTGGCGGCCTTAGTGTCCGCACAGCCTCCCAGATTGCTCTTCCAGCCTTCCTTTCTTCCCATGCATCGCATCGTACGACCTCGTAAGAAATGTCCCACCAGAACCCTTGAGTGATTCAGCAGAGATGCACGATCCTGCTTTCATTGAATGTTCAAATCAGTGGGATGCGCTTGCAGCCCCAGCACCCATCATAGAGCCAACAATAAAACATAGAGTCCAGCTGGCCTCACCCACTCGGAAACAATAGCTGATGCCAGGCTCAGCGCTGCAGTCTCAGATAAGGAGAAAGCTCGCCTCAGAGCAGTGCCTGCGTCCTATGCAGGGGACTTCTTTCTGACAGTACCCATGTCTGCAACAGGCAAGCGTCTAGATCCAGAATCCCTTCGTGTAGCAGTGGACCTCCACCTTGGTGCCCCAATTCACAATAAGTACGTGTTACTCGTACTCGTACATGAGTATTTGCAACGGTGTGGAAGCAAATCAATATGGACTGAATGGGTTGCACTGCGGAAGCTCCAAGGGCTGGTACGCAAGATATAACGAGGTTTATAACATTATCAAGAGAAGCCGTGTCTCGGCTCAGTGCCTAGCGGAGAGAGAGAACCTCGCATCCTAGTGGACCAAGGCCTGGATTATGATTTTTGTTCAGTCAGTATGATCTAGTTGGTAGAGTACTGGATACGCTAAGGTTCATGGGCCCTTGGCTGTCTGGCTCCGAATTATTCAGGGATGAGGAGTTTTCGGTTATATATATATATATATAT